TTGCGATCGACCGGTAGATCGCGATCGATGTATTGAGCACCCCTGCTCTACAGGATCACACTTCAGTCTTTACCCTGTGCTGCAGCTGCTGAGCTTTACAGACCAAACACTTATTGTGGATTTGAACATCTTTACTTTGAGCCTGGAGACTCGGATACATCATGTTTTTGTCTGAAAGGAAAATCTTATGGTTCCTTTAAAGTTGCATCGAGTCTAACAGTTAATTTACACAGGAGGCGTTAAAGTACGTACGCGTTATACGCGCGTAACATTTTTCCATGTTAACCAATGGTGACACTACTATTTACACTACTAGTGTTATATGTGCATATGACGCGAGGCTGCGCCTAATTTAGGATGGATTTCTAATTTTGTGCACGCTGCAACGCGTCTCCAAGTCAAAACACATAGGAAATGCACACACGGAGGAGCAGCAGGTTTTACAGTGTTCTGGACATTGTTTTTTTTCATTCATAAAGTCCCGTGTCTGGTCAGACCAGCGCACAGAGACCATGAAGACAAACACATGCATGTGATTTGTGTTGCTCTACATCAGTCCTCTGTACTGTCCTCTACACTGCTCCATAGACTACACAGGGACAGCTTCAAAAGCCGCGGACCTGCGCACGGCCAGTGTAGATACAGCCGAGTATGTGCGCATAAGGCAAGGCAAGTTTATTTATATAGCACAATTCATTCACCAGGCAATTCAAAGTGCTGAACAAAACAAGAAAGCATTAAAATCATAAATAATCACAGAACATAAAAAGAAAGATAAAAATATAAAATCCCTCAGTTGTATGCACAGCTAAACAGAACTGTCTTAAACCTGGTTTTAAACATTGTCATTGAGGAGGCCTGTCTCACATCTTCAGGAAGATTGTTCCAGATTTTAGCAGCATGAATCTGAAAAGCAGCCTCCCCATGTTTAGTTCTGACTCTGGGCACTAACAGGAGTCCAGTGCCTGTGCTCCTCAGAGTCCGGGCTGGTTCATATGGGACTAACATGTCACTAATATATTTTGGTGCGAGGCCATGGAGAGACTTGTAACAAGCAGAGCTGTTTTAAAGTCTATTCTCTGAGCCACAGGAAGCCAGTGCAGAGACCTGAGAACTGGACTAATGTGGTCGTACTTCCTGGTTCTAGTCAGGACTAATATGGTCGTACTTCCTGGTTCTAGTCAGGACTCGAGTTGCTGCATTTTGAATGTACTGCAGCTGTTTTACAGCCTGTTTGGACAGACCTGTGAGCAGGCCATTGCAGTAGTCTAACCTACTGGAGACAAATGCATGGATAAGAATCTCCAGGTCTGCTTTAGACACTATGTTTTTGATCCTGGTTTTTTAGATGGTAAAAAGCGGCTGATGTTACTGATTTGATGTGGCTATTAAAATGTAAGTCTGAGTCCAGTATTACCCCTAGATTTCTGACCTTGTTTGAAGGTTTTAGGGAGAGAGACTGTAGGTGACAGATGACGCTCTCTCTTTGTTTCTGGGGACTAAAGACAATCATTTCAGTTTTGTCTGCGTTTAGCTGAAGGAAGTTGTTTTGCATCCACTCACTGATGTGTTGGATACAGTGCATATGCGTGCAGTAAACGCTTACGCGCCGTTAACGCCTACTGTGGAAATTAGCTGTAAGATTCAAAGTGACGTGATGTAGAAGGAGACAGAAGTTTGATCTGCAGTTTAGTTCAGAAAAAAAATGTCCCCACTCTGTTATAGTACAGAATATTGACTTATACATGTTATGTTGCCTAAATGGTGTTTTAGTATATTTACAATATCAATGTGTTTGTACAAATGTATTTGTGTTTTCAAGTGGTGGGCTCTAAATGGAGAAAGAAGTAAAAAGGTGCAGCCTCCCCATGAACATACAGAGCATATATATTAAACATGTGTTTCTTCTGCCGCTTTAGGACAAAGGATGCATTTTAGCTTTTGTGCTAATTCCAGCATCTTGATGTTGAAGCTGTTTCTGACACATTCATATGTACTGCCCTCATTCAAAGAAATGAACTGATGAATACAAATATGTCGTCTGTTTGGGACCATGAAGGAAGATCAAAGGAGGAAAACTAGTCCAGACAATAATGCAAGTTCAGTTGATTTGTCCTTTCTAAATCCATATTGATTGTTAGGATGTTGTGTTTTTCAATAAATGACTCCATTCTATTTACAAAGAGCGTTTCCAGTATTTTGGAACATAGAGATAAGATAGAGTTGGGCTCTAGTTAGAGCAGTTTGTCTCCTGGTTTGTGAATGAGTCTGACTTCTGCAGTTGTCATTAGACATGGGAATGATCCAGTAGAGAACGTTAGCTTAAATATATGAGTTAAGGGCCGGGAAATGTCACTGATGACTTCTTTGGTCGTGCAGACGTCAAACTCATCGTCTCGATCTTGTGACCTTTTTGTTTTCATGCTTTGAACAATGTCTAGGACTTCTTTTTCAGTGTTGGACTCAGAACCTGTGAGAGTTGTTGTTGTTTTGAATGGTTGATGCAGCTCTGGCCCCACATGGATAAAGCAGTAGTTTAGTTCTTTCATGTGTGTTATTTCTGCTCCATGACTTCCACAGTATTGAGGCAGAGTCTGTCTTCTGATGCTTTATTGAGGACAGTGTTCACTTCCTTCCACAGGCCTTTCCTCTACTTCCTTGTTTCCTCCAAGAGCCAACAGTCGTGTTGTTTATGACACGTCCCAATCATGTTGTTCATGTATGTTTATATTTGTGTTTGCTGTTTCAGATTCCTCACTTCTTCTTTTCTTTTTGAATGCTGGATAAAGTGTGTTTTCTTCTTGCAGCTTGTCTTAGTCCTTTTGTCGTCTGTGGCTGGATTTTCCTTCTGTGTTTGTGATAAAACACGTTCAGGGAAGAAGGGCGGCGAGGGTGAGCATGAAGCCTATCCCCAAATCTTCTCCAGCAGAGAATCCACTGAAGCAGAGGAAGCAGCCTGATAAGTGCAGTAGAATCATTGTTTTCTGGATCTAAACATTCAACAACATCAGATATTGGTCGATGAGCAGAATGGATTTAGGAAGAACAGAGCATTGAGCACATCTATGTTCTGTCCTCTGTGGTGCGAGCCAGACTGCAGCAAAACTAAACTACTTTGTTTTGATGATTGAAGCCTTTGATTGGATGAACAGTTTCTGGAAAATAAGTGAATTAAATGTAGCATTACTGGATATTTGTATAAATGTATAAAATCCCTTCACAAGGCTCTGTTCGCCTGTGAGCAGTGAATGATCTGAGGCTGTTTGTCTTCTCTCCAACTTTATCTGCAATTTATGTGAATGATTTAGCTCCAGAAATGAAGAATGCAAACCTGCGTTTAACTATTGATGGTTTTAATCTCAGTATTTTATTGTTCGCTGCAGATATTGTGTTAATTTCAGGTTAATTACTGTGAAATGAAGTCACTTATAATGTCACATGTATGTTGCTATGGATACACGTGTCACCAGTGACATTACTATGTGTAAGACCAAGTACCAGAAAAGGAAGAGTCCAGACTGAAACTGTGAGGATGTGTGAGTGGGTCAAATGTGTAGAAATGTGTTTATGAAAGTATAAAGGTATAAAGTGTCACATGTGTTTTACATGTGTTGTTTTGGGCCCCGCCTATAAGCTCCTGCAGCTTCCTGGGAGTTCCCTTTTCCAAAGCACTTCCAAACCTTAGACATTAGTGTGTGTGGGACTTGTTGAAGTTTTGTAAATAAAGAGGTAACGCTTTATATTGAGGTGTGCTTGTTAAGTATTAATAAGGTATTAATAGGCATTAGTAACATCCATCCATCTTCTACCCTTTAATCCATTTCTGGGTCAGGGGGGTGGCAGTCAGAGATGCCACCCAAGTCTCATAGCACCAGCCCCTCACTGACCCTCTGCAGGTGGTGAGTCCACAGGAGGACGGCTGCTCTGAGTGTGAGCATAGCCTTGATCTTTCAGTGGGGGCTTTTTGGGCAAAGTGGGGTTAAGTGTCTTGCCCAAGGACACAACGGCAGCAGTCATCAGTGGGAGTTGGTGGAGAAGGTGTGGAGGTGGGAATTTGAACCCACGACCTTCAGGCCTGAAGGCCAATGCTCTACCAACTGAGCCACTGTCACCCCGGCATTAGTAACATGCTTACAATTGTAAGCTTGTTAGTAACATGTTTACAATTTGCTTGTATGTGCTTATAAACATTAAAAACCTGCTCATTTCACTATTCTCCAAATTGTTGTTCTATTTATATGCTTTTAAGCATTTAATAAGTAATTAGTAAGATGCTTATTAAAGGAGGAATATGTTTATAAATGTATTAATAAGCTGCTTATTAAACTATTATTGATACCATGTTAATAGGCCACTAACAATATGCCTATAAATATGTTAATAAGCTGCTTATTACACTATTTTGCAGTACCCTAATCTAAAGCGTGGACCATATGTGATAATACAGAAAAAACACAACCATGATGTAAGATACATTCAGACAGAAGACATGTTTTATTGTCGATGGTAGAGACAGCACGAACAACACGAGCAACAGAATGCAAGTGTATTATACAGAGCGGAGGCATGGAGACCTCCAATCAGCAGCTGCCACAGTGCCATGTAGCTTGGCCTTCAGATAGACAAAACAAGGAGTGGAAAAGTACAGGCTTCTGCACATTGCTTAAAAGTGTTATGAAATCTCACACAACAATAGAGCTACATCCCATTCACGTTAACCCGAAGAAAAATACATCATAGGTGTTCTGTAACAACTAACACTTTTGTATAGTATTCTGATTTTGCATTCGATATTTTGTTTTTGAGTATTGTCAAACTTTTGTCTGGCGTTGTGACGACGTACAACCAAATATACTTCGGTAGTGCTGGTTAGCATGCTAGTTAGCATGGTAGACAGCCTCTCGAGTAAACCAACAGATTTAAAATAGCTTAACGTCACATTTGTGGAGGTCTGTCGCTCTCGGTGCCTCACGTGTGGGGATTACCACGACAGACTATAATTATAACCCGGGCACTTTCTGTTCGTCGCCGGCATCCCCACTTCGTCCGACCATCTTATTTTTCAGACGCACGAATTTGTACCGCACCAGTTTCCACCGTGGTTGGCACTCCGCCACATCCATTCCCAACGTCTGGGAGATTTCTCTCCACGAATTGCCAGTCATCTGGGCGTCTTTGTAGTTGGGGGAGTTGGCGTCGTAGATATGTACATATCTGCAAACCTCTTCACACAGCCTCTCCTCGACGTGATCCATGGTGATTTAAAAATGGCGCTCAAAGTGCAGGGCTAGATGCCGCCCAGCAAATACACGTGATCAAACACGGGCCAATCACAGCGGAGCTTCCTTGCGGCGATCCTTACGTAGTTAGACAAATTTGAGGGTGCGCGGCAGGCAACGCAAGAGCCTTGCAGTGACCAACGCGTTGCGCAAGTGACGTCACGTCACCTCCGTAAGCTCCACGCAAGTATACACTAGGCTTCAAAAAATTTCGAGGGTGCGCGGCAGGCGACGTAAGGGAGCAGGTCTAACGACCCTGTTGGGGCTGACGATCCTAACTCATTAGCTTGTCACAGACCTATTGTCTGCTGAGATCGCCTGAGTGAAGGTCTCCCCTCTCCTAAGTCATTAGCACGTCACTGGCCTTAACTATAGTTAGGGCATTGTTTTTAGGACGTCGTCATAGATGCGAGGCAAAACAAATCTTTACCTGCCTCCACTCTTATGGTGCTTTCAGACCGCAAACACTGAAACGCACGTTCTCTAGTTTTCAGACGCAGGGGTCTTCAGACCAGAGGTCCTGGCGCGTGCCGGAAGGGTCAGCACTAGATCATATACGCAATCGGAACGGAAGCGGAAGTAAATATAATAAACTTCCTATTCATGCCTAAACTTACCCAGCCATTCCCGTAAAATAACCCTAACCCACCCTTAACCCTAACTTTAACCATCTTACTCAGACACCTAAAACTTAACCAGTCACCACTTAAGGATGTATTAGTGTGAATTTCCCAGACATAAGACAAAAAGACTTCGACAAAACTGCGTACTTCAAAATAAAGTTTTATTGTCAGAAGGTTTGAGCATATTCTGATCAAGCATAACGCAGCTTCCCCTCCTGTCTTGCCTCAGAAGTCTAGTAGTACAGGCAAAGGCTAACTGCTTATATACACTGTAAATGATTATATAAGCATGACTATGCAGAAGTACACGTATGGTTTCAACGTACAACTGTGATATAACTGTTTTGTAATGGAGCAAACTCCAACGTACACCATCCATACTGCACATGTTCACTGTTTGTTCTGTCTTATCTGTTTCCATGCTTCTGTAAGCAGTTCAAAGTACAAGTGAACTCTTATTGAACTGTTTAACATGACATTTTAGCAGGCAGAAAATAATTAAATATTCACAGTAGTCTAAAACTAATTCGAGAGTAGGATTGTTACTTCCGGTTTTGTCCCGATTCCGTATATGATCTAGTGCCGACCGTGCCGGAAGTAGCCGGCGGGCTCTGATGCCAACCGTTTAGCTAGAGGCTTCTTGTGTACAGATCTTCTCCAATAATGCAGCTTTGTGGCGTGTCTGTGTTCAGAGACCTTCCACGGACTTTATATAACAATACATAGTTCCCACATGACGTCACTACATACGGGGATTTGCCGACCCGGCGCCATTTGTGCTGGCATGCTGTGGGCAAAACAATAGAAGAAGAAGCTGAAACGTGTGATAAAGTTGAAAATCATCTCCTGCTGGGTCAATGGATGTTCTAATCGTGCCGGAGGTTCAGTTAAACTTGGATTTTACAGTATACCCATCATTAGACTTCATGAATGTGAGAAGACTAAGCTTTTGTCTGAACAACGACGGAGGTTCTGGCTTGCGAAGATAAACAGGCAAGAAACTCCCTCAAAACACGCAAGAATATGCTCGGAGCACTTTGTGTCAGGTGCGTATCGTATCTTATAATGTGTTGACAGACGTAATTTACTCAGTACTAACTTGTGTATGCTGATAGCTGGTAACTTGAGAGTTTCATTTAGATTACTTTATTATGAGGAGGATCGGTGTCCGTCCGAGGCTCTCGAGGGCAACGTAAATGTATTAAATAGATAATAATAGTTCTATGGTGGGCTAAAACAATGTTCACAAACAGCATTGCTTCTGTAAAAAGATCTGTGTCATAAAATAAACTTCTCTTTACGCCTGGAAAAATCAGTTGCCCACCATTCACCAAAACATACGGTCAAAAACGCGGAAAAAAACAATAACAGCAATCCAGAGTGTCCGTGTGGCATTAGCATTAATTAAATTAATTGTTAATATAATTAAAATAATTAAATGGAGCTCCAACTGGTATTAAATCTAAAGTTTTTGAGAAATGTATGCATTGCTTGTTAATTTTTGCTGCATAATTTGATCAAATATGTATAACATGTCCGTAGCACGTTAAACTGTGGTGCCATTGTATTAATATACAATTATTTGCTCAAAAGTTGCCCTTTTTTTCCAATTTGCGTTTGAATATCTACATTTATTCTCATTCTTCTGTTTAATGGAATGCACAAATACAGCAGCGTGCCATCAAAGATGGCGTCTCCGAGGAGGTCATGTGACATTCATTGGTCTGTGGGAACTATGTATAGTATATGTTCACGGAGTGAACATATGTGTATTTTATCCGCCATCTTTGTTTTGTTTGGCTGGTATTGTTTGGCTGGTATTGGTATAGGCCCCCTTGGACTGCCACCTTAACGTGGTGGGGGAGTTTGAGCACTCGGATGATCCTGGGAGCTATGCTGTCTGGGGCTTCATGCCCCTGGTAGGGTCTCCCATGGCAGACAGGTCTCAAGTGACGAGTCAGACGAAGCGCAGTCCGAAGCCAACCATGGACAGCACGACAATGAGAACCGTGACGTCGCCCGGCTTGGCGCAGCCGGGGCCCCACCCTGGAGCCAGGCCTGGGGTCGGGGCTCGCAAGCGAGCGCCTGGTGGCCGGGCCTTAGCCCACGGGGCCCGGCCGGACTCAGCCCGAAGGGATGACGTGGGCAGTCCCTCCTGTGGGCCCACCACCTGCAGAGGGGTCCGTGGTGGCGAGGTGCAGAGAGGACTGGGCAGCAGTCGAAGGCGGAGACCTCGACGACCCAGTCCACACACCCAACATCTGGCTCTTGGGACGTGGAACGTCACCTCACTGGGGGGGAAGGAGCCCGAGCTTGTGGGGGAGGTTGAGCGATACCGACTAGAGATAGTCGGCCTCACCTCCACACACAGCTTGGGCTCTGGAACCCAACTCCTTGAGAGGGGTTGGACGCTCCACTTTTCTGGTGTTTCCCGCGGGGAGAGGCGGCGAGCTGGGGTGGCCATACTCATTGCCCCCCATCTCAGCCGCCACGTGTTGGAGTTCTCCCCGGTGAATGAGAGGGTCGCGTCCCTCCGCCTCCGGGTGGGGGACAAGTCTCTCACTGTTGTGACGGCCTACGGGCCTAACGGTAGTGCAGAGTACCCGGCCTTCTTGGAGTCCTTGGGAGGGGTACTGGACAGTGCACCGCCCGGGGACTCCGTTATTCTCCTGGGGGACTTCAACGCCCATGTGGGAAATGCCAGTGACACTTGGAGAGGGGTGATCGGGAAGAACGGCCCCCCTGATCTGAACCCGAGCGGTGTTCAGTTGTTGGACTTCTGTGCCAGTCACAGTTTGTCCATCACGAACACCATGTTCGAGCACAAGGGTGTCCATCAGTGCACGTGGCACCAGGACACCCTAGGCCGGAGGTCGATGATCGACTTTGTTGTTGTATCATCTGACCTTCGACCGCGTGTCTCGGACACTCGGGTGAAGAGAGGGGCGGAGCTGTCAACCGATCATCACCTGGTCGTGAGTTGGATCCGCTGGCAGGGCAGGAAGCCGGACAGACCTGGCAGGCCCAAGCGTGTAGTGAGGGTTTGCTGGGAACGTCTTGCTGAGCCCCCTGTCAGACGGACTTTCAACTCACACCTCCGGGAGAGCTCCCAGGTCCCGGCAGAGGAGGGGGACATCGAGTCCGAGTGGACCATGTTCTCTTCCTCTATCGCCAATGCGGCGGCTCGTAGCTGTGGTCGCAAGGTCTCTGGTGCTGATCCCGGCGGCAATCCCCGAACCCGGTGGTGGACACCGGCAGTAAGGAATGCCGTCAGGCTGAAGAAGGAGTCCTATCGAGCAATGATGGTTCGTGGGACTCCTGAGGCAGCTGTCCAGTACCGGCAGGCCAAACGTGCCGCGGCCCGGGCTGTTGCAGAGGCAAAAACCCGGGTCTGGGAGGAGTTCGGAGAGTCCATGGAGCATGACTATCGGTCGGCCTCAAAGAGGTTCTGGCAAACCGTCCGGCGCCTCAGGAGGGGGAAGCAGTTCTTTGCCAACACCGTGTATGGTGCGGGTGGAGGGCTGCTGACCTCGACTGGGGATATTGTCGGGCGGTGGAAGGAATACTTCGAGGTTCTCCTCAATCCCCCCGTCACGTCCTCCGTCCAGGAGGCAGAGGCTGAGGATGTTGGGGCGGATACTTACATCTCCCTGGCCGAGGTCACCAAGGTGGTTGGCAGCCTCCATGGTGGCAAGGCGCCGGGAGTGGATGAGATCCGTCCTGACTATCTAAAGTCTCTGGATGTTGTAGGACTGTCTTGGCTGACACGTCTCTGCAGCATCGCGTGGCGATCGGGGGCGGTACCAATGGAGTGGCAGACCGGGGTGGTGGTCCCTCTCTACAAGAAGGGGGACCGGAGGGTGTGTTCCAATTATTGTGGGATCACACTCCTCAGCCTCCCCGGTAAGGTCTACTCCAAGGTACTGGAGAGGAGGCTACGTCCGATGGTCGAATCTCGGATTCAGGAGGAGCAGTGTGGTTTTCGTCCCGGTCGCGGAACACTGGACCAGCTCTATACTCTCCATCGGATACTCGAGAGTTCATGGGAGTTCGCCCAACCTGTCCACATGTGCTTTGTGGATTTGGAGAAGGCGTTCGACCGTGTTCCCCGGGGTGTCCTTTGGGGGGTCCTCCGGGAGTACGGGGTCCGGGGTCCTCTGCTGAGGGCCGTCCGGTCCCTGTATGACCGGAGTCAGAGCTGTGTTTGCATTGCCGGCAGTAAGTCAGACCTGTTCCCGGTGCATGTTGGCCTCCGCCAAGGCTGCCCTTTGTCACCGGTTCTGTTCACTGTATTTATGGACAGAATTTCTAGGCGCAGCCAGGGGCCGGAGGGGGTCCGGTTCGGGAACCACAGGATTTCATCTCTACTTTTTGCGGATGATGTCGTCCTGCTGGCTCCAACGAACCAGGACCTGCAGCATGCACTGGGACGGTTTGCAGCCGAGTGCGAAGCGGCTGGGATGAGAATCAGCACCTCCAAATCCGAGGCCATGGTGCTCGACCGGAAAAAGGTGCCTTGCCCTCTTCAGGCGGGTGGAGAGGTCCTTCCTCAAGTGGAGGAGTTCAAGTATCTCGGGGTCTTGTTCACGAGTGAGGGGAGGATGGAGCGTGAGATTGACAGGCGGATCGGTGCAGCGTGCGCAGTGATGCGGTCGCTGTATCGGACCCTTGTGGTAAAGAGGGAGCTGAGCCGAAAGGCGAAGCTCTCGATTTACCGGTCAATCTTCGTTCCCTCCCTCACCTATGGTCATGAGCTTTGGGTAATGACCGAAAGAACGAGATCGCGGATACAAGCGGTCGAAATGAGCTTCCTCCGCAGAGTGGCTGGGCGCTACCTTAGAGATAGGGTGAGGAGCTCGGTCACACGGGAGGAGCTCGGAGTAGAGCCGCTGCTTCTCCACGTCGAGAGGAACCAGTTGAGGTGGCTCGGGCATCTGTTCAGGATGCCTCCTGGACGCCTTCCTGGGGAGGTGTTCCAGGCACGTCCCACCGGGAGGAGGCCCCGGGGAAGACCCAGGACACGCTGGAGAGACTATGTCTCTCAGCTGGCCTGGGAACGCCTTGGGGTCCCCCCGGACGAGCTGGAGGAGGTGTGTGTGGATAGGGAAGTCTGGGCGTCTCTGCTTAGACTGCTGCCCCCGCGACCCGGCAACGGATAAAGCGGAAGAAAATGGATGGATGGATGGATGTATAACATGTCCGTAGCACGTTAAACTGTGGTGCCATTGTATTAATATACAATTATTTGCTCAAAAGTTGCCCTTTTTTTCCAATTTGCGTTTGAATATCTACATTTATTCTCATTCTTCTGTTTAATGGAATGCACAAACACAGCAGCGTGCCATCAAAGATGGCGTCTCCGAGGAGGTCATGTGACATTCATTGGTCTGTGGGAACTATGTATAGTATATGTTCACGGAGTGAACATATGTGTATTTTATCCGCCATCTTTGTTTTGTTTGGCTGGGCCCCGTAAAAGTTCCTGTCAATGGCCCTGTGGGGGAAGTTCCTGCTGTGTAGACACCAAGCCCCAGTGATTCAAGATAGCGCCCTAATCAAATGAATGGCTCCGTAGCGCATGGGACTTCATGGGGACCAAAAGACTAGTGGAACGTCTGGTCCTCCTGGTTCAGCGCAGTGAACGAGCTCCCATGAAGCGTTGAGCCAGATACGCGTGTGTGGCTCTCATGTACGTGCACAGAGGGGCTCGGTCGCACTTCGACCAATCAGCACTGCAGCGGGAGAGCAGAGTCAGAGCGGGAAGGAAAACAGCAGAGTTTGTTGCAGTTGCTGTAAATCTGTCAGTTTTCCCCTGCTCCAGACGCAGCAGAGGGGCCGCAGCACCACGGCCCGTTTCGTCCTGCAGATTCTCTAGTTTAACAAGAGACAATACCAATGTTAAAATAGTAATATAAATGACAGACACAAAACCTGATTTTAGATGTTATATTGAAGATTTGCAAGCAATATTACAAGTGTAACGGTCTGCGAACAGGTCTCGCTTTGTGTTTGAAGATAAGAAGTGGCCTCGGGGACGTCTCTCTGCTCTCCTGGTCAGATGAAGCCCCTGTGACTGCTTCTGTACATCTCTTATACTGTACATCCAAGGTCACTGAAATCACAGATTTGTGGACTCTGACTTCTTCTGGTCAGCTGCCAAAACCTGCACCTGTTTGATAACAATTCTTGTTTTTCTCACTTTTTGTACAGAACTGCTACTTATTAATTCTCACTATTCAGAAATAATAATCTTGACCTAACTGCACTTTAAAATAATAAATTGACAAACAAGTACTTTTTAGACCTAAACATTCTGGAGTTTTCTAAGTAGTTATTAATTTAGCAACAGAAACAATACTAAGCTGATTTAGTTTAACTGGTGCAGGAGGCCTCTATTATTCCAACAGAGTAAAGTGTGGATATAAAGAAAACCAAAGGATTTAAGAAGAAAACAAGTTCAGGATGACAAGGGACGGCTCAGGGTCTGGTTAGTGAGTAAACGGCTAAGGAAAAATAACTTCACGGAGCAGGGGATTGAGACCATTATGAACGAAGTGGGAAAAAGAATAAAGTCTTACTATTTGGAATTCTCAAAAGTGGCATCAAGGGGCTTCAAAAACAATGTATGGAAAGAAATGACAGCATCTGTAAACAGCGTGGGGCCTGCTCCACTCCTGAAGAGGTGAGTTCATGTTCGAAGCAAAATACGCTATGTTATATCAAACAGTTGATATATTGGGCCAATAGTAAGAATTCATTAATTTATGCTACAAGTGAAAAAAAGGGAGCAACCTTACAATGTAACAAAAAGGCGTTTAGCGCAGCCTATAAAAAAGCCCTTTCTTAAAATAAGAACATCTATCTTGTTTTGGGGTAAAAAAGTCTTATTTCAAGTGAAATTATCTGCCAGTGCAGTAAAACATTTGCACTTAACAAGATTTTCTTAAAACAAGAAAAAAGTTCAAAATGCTGAAAATCTTGTTTTAAGCTTTATACACTAGTTTTAAGTATTTATTTTAAGATTTTATATCTTATTTTGAGCAAATCTATTCTTGATTTAAGTAAATATTGCTTGTTAGGATTTAGGCAGAGACCAAAATTTGCTCATTTCTAGTGCACCACAGATCTTAAAATAAGCTTATAATTCTTGCATAGATAGAGATACTAGGTTTAAGATAGTCTTGCTTTAATCATCAACAATACATTTACAAAAGGAGATTGCAGTGTAATAGCCTTTTTATTAATAAAAAACAAATTAAACCCATTGCACAACATTGACAGTATGTTTCTTAATAGGGTTTTCTAACCAACAAAGCACAAGATGGTGATTAAGATGAGTTTGAAATGCCAAATAATTGCAAAATGCACACCTCTCTTAAACAATATTTCTCCAGTTCTTTTAACAAAAAATGAGAGTGTAAAGAATGCTCTTCCAAAACAAGAAAATGCAATAACCAAATGCATTTCAGAACATACTTGTAAAAGCGAGTGTCCTACCCAACAAAAGCTGCAAACTCTGTCATCGCCTTTTTATAGGCAGCGGTTGCATCATTGTCCGTGATGGGATCTTGAAGTACCTCTGTTTGCAGGACTAGCAACAAGGATGCAATGCATTTGGGGTATGCCATGTGAAAAACGTAGTAATAAGCCATAATGTAAAGAATGTCTTCCTGGAGCTTGGATTTTGGAAAAGATGAGATGGGAGTTGAGCCAGCACATAGGAAGCAGCCATCCTCATCAACGAGCAGGACTGGAGTGCAGAGAGGTCGCTTCTGAAGAAACATTCCTGGTTCCTGTAATGGCTGAAAGAGAAAAACAAAATATTATATTGTTGAATAACAATGGCTCTCAAACCTTTCGCATCAAGTACAACCTAATAGTAATTTGTATTGTGCTTTGCACATGATTTGTTCTCCATTCACTCCAAACACAGTAATGGTAGGCTATATGTAGCCACAGTTTCCCCTGGGGTAGACTGACAGACTGACACTGCACACATCTACGCCAATGGTCCATCCATTCATTCACTTACACACAGATTCATCTTGGCCTACAGCACACGTTTTTAGTGGTAGAGGAAACCGGAGTACAGAATCCTTCGCAGACATGGTGAGAACATGCAAACTCCACCCAGAAAGACCCCTCCGGCCCGGGATTGAACCCAGGACCTTCTAGCTGTAAAGCATGAGTGCTAACCTCTGGACGACCATGCACCATGCAATAAAAAGGAATCTTATAATCTTACACAACACAAAGAATCTTACCAATAAGATATGGAACAGGGCGTCCGATGCATTGGACAGTTTCTTCGGAAGGGCAGCATTAGAAGGAAATAGCACTGGGAGGCACTTCAGTAGCTCAATTGCTTGTTCTTCTGGGGAAGCAAAAAATAAATAACAAGATGTTATTAATAGTATATACTTGAAAAGTCTAAATAACAAAATAAATCATTTTTAAATAACTCATTTAAAAATGATCATTTGAAAAATTACCTTTAGAAAGTGACATCGGTGGTTTCATTGCCTTCTTGTAAAACAGCATAGATTAATTTTTGCTTGAAGACTTCCCAGCGCTCTCTCAGCTCCATGGCATAGTTGTGCTGTCCTTTGGCAATTATTCTCCCCACTTCGTCGAGGGCCTTAAAGGTATCAGAATGTTACTACAGGATTCCTTAAGATGAGGCAAGCACAGCTGGCTGCAGTTTAGACACATGCAAAACTAAATTAAACAAAATCTAAGGCATTAGTGGAATATATGTAAATGACAATAGCCAGAGAGTATCAGCAAACTATAATCAAATAAAAGCTTACATGGTCAATGTCTTTGAAGCAGGGATAGGCGTCAATTATCTTAGCTGCCTTGTCCGGCTCTTTTAGCAGGTCTGCATCTATGAAGTTTCTCCTTGCTTCAAATTCTAAATCCAACAGTTGAGCAACTGCCTCCTTGTCTTGTTTTGGCTTTCGAAACATTTCTTGCAGTGTTTTATAGTGTCTGGCCTGGGCAATCCGGCTGTCGTGCAGTTTGGGACCTACACCAAAAAATGAATAAAAAAACAATGAAATTGAGATTTGGTAATACTAACATTTCAAAACCAATTTAGATATTGAGAAAAAAACTACACGATACCAATATTCACTTTCTATTTTAATACCACAGTAATAATAATAATAAAAAACAAAAACAAAGCTTGTGTACACAATCACATTAACAGCACCAAACTTTTATTTTTGTTTTTTTACTGCTAGAGATCCACAAGGCGACTTGCCTGATTTAACTAGGTTCTCGCTGGCCGTATTAGGCGACTGAACTTGTGGCCTTTCTGGGGTGCAAATGGTGCTACTTGGAGAGACTTTAGAAGCACACGGGCTCAAGTCCACGACCGGCTCTTCTCCCTCGTCTGTGAGTTCCTTGCCTGTAGTATTCTCAAAAGAAAGGCGTCTTCTTTTCCCATTGCCTCTCGATGGTGTAGCTCCTTGCCATTTTTGTGGAGACTTGATGTTTTGTAGTCTCTTGTTGAGCTTCTTGAAGATATCGGACTGTAACACAAAAAAGTAACAACATTGTAAAAAGTTTTTTAAAACTACATTAAAATACAGCAGTGTCTTTCGAAGTAAAGACATCTTCAAAACTGGTCTACTTGTAAGATATGGTTATAAGACCATAAACAATAAGACAAGGCAAAGTCAGGAAAAAAGCTTGGTGCCAGTTTATCGCACAAATACTGTACCACCCCATCACACCTCTAGCCCTGGACAAATTAAAGTTTAAAAAAGAAAACATTAACAGTGTGCTGTCAATGGAAAATTATCATTGCATACACTTACCCATGGACAGCTGGTGTCTGCCCAGTCAGCGACCATTGAATAGTAGTCCATGATTCGTCTGGCCATGGCCTGCAGCCCCTCTTTTGTGGGGTATTGCAGGCAGTCAGTCCCACCTGACGTTCTCACAGCAGTTATCATGCTGATAATCGTATTTCTTATCAGTCTACAGTACAGTTCTTTAGAAAGCTGGCACTCCCTTTCTCGCCCAATGCGTTTAAATTCAAAATATTCTCTCCTCACATGTTCTAATTCACTGTCAGTATAAATCACATATTGTGGGCTTGGGAGCTGCACAACTTTCAAAGGACTTTTTTTAACTGCAAGATGAACAGGACCCTCACTTTCTTCTGTTGCCTGCTCCTGGACACATGAAATACAAGCAGAAGAATATGGTATTTAGAAGAGACCAAAACATTAAGTTAATGCTCAAGGATAACTTACCACAGGGTGGGCCAGGTCCCAAATGGCTTTTCTTCTTCGAAAGTGTTCCGGCCCAGGAAAGAGGTCCTTTAAATCTTCTCTCGTTAAGGTTTGTAGGACGTCTGCATCAACATTTGCGGCTGGTGCAAATAGAGAAATGTTATTAATTTTAAAAGTCATACATGATTCTGTGGTCATAACTGCTCCAAATTTCAAGTGTGTAAGATGTGCTAATTTATGTGAAGTACTTTGACATTATTTTAGACCATGTTAGGAAAGAATAATTTTTATTAAAACACTTTGGATGAGTTTGGGCTTTCCTTATCCATGAAGGTCTGAAGGGCTGCTAAAAATAGCATGGCTTCAATTAGAAAACACTGAATTTAACCATATACGTTAAAGGAATAGGCCACCATTTTTGTATACTGAGGCATGTTCTTACCTGAGCTTAAACAAGCTGATGCGTACCTGTCTGATCTTTATGCGTGTGCTCAGTCACGCAAAAACACGAAACCTGTTGTTAGCATTTAGCCTCTCCTCCTCTATGGGGCCAAATGGGGGTAAAGTTAGCAGCGACCAAGCTCTTCCACGCTTCCCCTATTTAAATATGGTTAAGTGAGCGTTTATACGATCCAAGTATAGTTACATAAAATTAAACATGTCGATTTTCTAGCGCAGTGTCTCCCAAAGTGGGGTCCTGCAGAGGGTACTGCAGGGGGGCCGCGGGAGGTCATAAAAAAAAATATATATATATTTAATGTTAAATTTATAATGTTTTGTTTGTAATATTAAAATATTTGTGTTCATTATTTGACTTGAATAATCCACTGTAATCATTTTTGTATTACAATGTTTGTAGCAGAGGCTATTTCCCCAAAATAAAATAACCAGAAGAGCCTATTCTTAATGTTGTCTTCTTGGTTATTATTTTGGGGGGCCACGCAGACCCGTCAGATTTTTAAGGGGGCCTCGGTGTTACTGAGTTTGGGAATGGCTGTTCTAGCGAATCAAAAGAGGTACTATATTGAAAGATGTAATAATACCTTAGAAGCACTTCGACTTTACTGCGCGGACGTCAAAGTGCTCCTATGGTATTATTACGCCACAACATAGTTCCCCTTTTATACTCAGTGCCTTGCGAAAGTATTCGGCCCCCTTGAACCTTTCAACATTTCGCCACATTTCAGGCTTCAAACATAAAGATATAATATTTAATTTTTTGTCAAGAATCAACAACAAGTGGGACACAATCGTGAAGTGGAACGGAATTTATTGGATAATTTAAACTTTTTTAACAAATAAAAAACTGAAAAGTGGGGCGTGCAATATTATTCGGCCCCCTTGCGCTAATACTTTGTAGCGCCACCTTTTGCTGCAATTACAGCTGCAAGTCGCTTGGGGTATGTCTCTATCAGTTTTGCACATCAAGAGACTGGAATTCTTGCCCATTCTTCCTTGCAAAACAGCTGGAGCTCAGTGAGGTTGGATGGAGAGCGTTTGTGAACAGCAGTCTTCAGCTCTTTCCACAGATTCTTGATTGGATTCAGGTCTGGACTTTGACTTGGCCATTCTAACACCTGGATACGTCTATTTGTGAACCATTCCATTGTAGATTTGGCTTTATGTTTTGGATCATTGTCCTATTGGAAGATAAATCTCCGTCCCAGTCTCAGGTCTTTTGCAGACTCCAACAGGTTTTCTTCCAGAATGGTCCTGTATTTGGCTCCATCCATCTTCCCATCAATTTTAGCCATCTTCCCTGTCCCTGCTGAAGAAAAGCAGGCCCAAACCATGATGCTGCCACCACCATGTTTGACAGTGGGGATGGTGTGTTCAGGGTGATGAGCTGTGTTGCTTTTACGCCAAACATATTGTTTTGCATTGTGGCCAAAAAGTTCGATTTTGGTTTCATCTGACCAGAGCACCTTCTTCCACATGTTTGATGTGTCTCCCAGGTGGTTTGTGGCAAACTTTAAACGAGACTTTTTATGGATATCTTTGAGAAATGGCTTTCTTCTTGCCACTCTTCCATAAAGGCCAGATTTGTGCAGTGCACGACTGATTGTTGTCCTATGGACAGACTCTCCCACCTCAGCTGTAGTTATCTGCAGTTCATCCAGAGTGATCATGGGCCTCTTGGCTGCATCTCTGATCAGTCTTCTCCTTGTTTGAGATGAAAGTTTGGAGGGACGGCCGGGTCTTGGTAGATTTGCAGTGGTCTGATACTCCTTCCATTTCAATATAATTGTGTGCACAGTGCTCCTTGAGATGTTTAAAGCTTGGGAAATCTTTTTGTATCCAAATCCGGCTTTAAACTTCTCCACAACAGTATCTCGGACCTGCCTGGTGTGTTCCTTTGTCTTCATGGTTCTCTCTGCGCTTTAAACAGAACCCTGAGACTATCAAAGAGCAGGTGCATTTATACGGAGACTTGATTACACACAGGTGCATTCTATTTATCATCATCAGTCATTTAGGACAACATTGGATCATTCAAAGATCCTCACTGAACTTCTGGAGTGAGTTTGCTGCACTGAAAGTAAAGGGGCCAAATAATATTGCACGCCCCACTTTTCAGTTTTTTATTTGTTAAAAAAGTTTAAATTATCCAATAAATTTCGTTCCACTTCACGATTGTGTCCCACATGTTGTTGATTCATGACAAAAAATTAAAATGTTATATCTTTATGTTTGAAGCCTGAAATGTGGCAAAATGTTGAAAGGTTCAAGGGGGCTGAATACTTTCGCAAGGCACTGTATCACTGAGCGCCTACGTTTGCTGTAACATCACAAAGCTTGGCTGTTACCTTAGGACATGGGGCGATGAGATTTGGGGCTGCTTGCCCTTGGGCTGGCCGGTGGGTTGATGAGCCGGTGCCCTCCCCTCCTGACGTTTGGCTCCTCACATCAGGGGTTTGCAGTTTCCCACCTCCTGGGCTGCTGTCACTGCCCCCATATGTGGGGCTCTAGGCTGAGAGGGCACACGTTCATTATCACAGTCTCTTTCAAAATGGTCAGGTTTTTAACAACGCAGGCAGATTAGTGTGTTTGGCCGAGCTGTTCTGTAATGCTTGGAGGCCTAGGGCTAACTGGTTAAGCTGCTCTTGCTATTTCTCAAACAGTTGCCGCAATTCCCTAAACTCCGAGCTGGCATTGGTAGAAGGTGTGCGTGTGTTAGAGTAGTGCATTGAGGGGTTCCTCAGACCTTCCTTCCCGTTCCCACCTAATAGCATCTGTATGGCGTCAAAATAGGATCTGCTTAAACGTAACCGTAAAGCAGGAATTGTAATCGTAGGTTGTAAGTATTGTAAACATTAAAAATATATTGTAAATGAAATAATTTAAAACTTACATTTACGGTTCTGATTTTTCATGTTTCACTTCAAAAGTTACGTTTACGATTCACAAGTTATGTTTACGATTCACAAGTTATGTTTACGATTCACAAGCTACGCTTACGGGTCAAAACTTACGGTTACGATACATTTTTCATCTGACCCCTTTTTGGAGGGGCGGGCTCAGCGCGCCCATTGGCTGGAGACACCGGATGTCACAAAAGCAAAACACACGCACGTTGCTACAATCTTTACAGTGTGGTTACTACAGAAGACGAAGAACTATGGCGTCAAAATAGGGTCTGCTTAAACGTAACCGTAAAGCAGGAATTGTAAACGTAGGTTGTAAGTATTGTAAACATAAAAAAATATTGTAAACAAAAAAACTGTAGCGTAACCGTAAAGCAGGAATTGTAATCGTAGGTTGTAGTATTGTAAACATTAAAAATATATTGTAAATGAAAAAAATTAAAACTTACATTTACGGTTCTGATTTTTCATGTTTCGCTTCAAAAGTTACGTTTACGATTCACAAGCTACGCTTACGAGTCAAAACTTACGGTTACGATACATTTTTCATCTGACCCCTTTTTGGAGGGGCGGGCTCAGCGCGCCCATTGGCTGGAGACACCGGATGTCACAAAAGCAAAACATACGCACGTTGCTACAATCTTTACAGTGTGGTTACTACAGAAGACGAAGAACAGGCGTCAGGCCATCTACGGAGACCTGCGTACATAAATGCTAAGAGCAAACTTCATAGCTGGTAAGTGTCTGTGTCCTACAGAAGCTAATGATGAAAGAGTCCAACTCCAACCCATAAGTGATCACTTGGTTACATCATGTCGCTATAAGAAGAGAACCCGCTGTGACCTGATGTAATCATGATCAGTCAAGTTAAAGCCAGCTCACTTTTAGCGCCGCTATAACAAACAGCTGACATTGCTATAATGCTAACATTAGCTGTTTTGCTAAATAAGTAGCTAGGGAGGCTCCTTCGTTTTAGTCTGAGGAGAAACAGTCTTCAAATAACTAACTAAACAGTTGTTCATAAGTGAGCCTGCGTAGCCTTCTAGTCACAACAATACTGATACTGTGAGTGGATGAAGAGCACACCAATATTTTAGAGCTAAAATCACAAACTTGTCTTTTTACCATTAATACAAAGACAACTGGAGAACAAAAGTTTTCAACCTGTATACCACTCAAAATGTAGTAACTACTTATTAATGTGGCTTTTTCCCTTTATCAGGAGAACTGCGCCTTGCATCTGAGGAGGGGACTGCTGAGCTGAATGCATGGAGAGACGTGAAGTGGATTTATGTTTTATTTTGTGCAGAGCTACTAGTAAATGTCATTCAGTGGTCCTCCTTGTGTCCTGCTCCTTCTTCAGACAGCGCAGAACATAAAACATAACGCAGATTACACTAATAAAGGGGTTAATGGGTGTGCACCAGGTTAAGACTGTAATTGAACATTAAAAGCAAGTTACATGTCCATACCCTGCCATACAGGAACAGTTCAGGGTAAGGATGTACACCAAGTCTTTGTAGAGGTACACCCAAGCATCATAAGGCTTTGACTTAATGCCCACTCTCTGACTGGGGAGCACATCAGCCTCAAAACATAGAACTCAGTCCCAGAGTGGAAGTATTTCACATTCTTCACATGTCCACATAATTGTATGTATTTATAGATCTATATGCTTTTATTTTTTTTTTTATATAATTTGTTTTCTCGACACTCACGGTTGCCTTACAACCAAGTAAAAAAAGTGTATTTTAAAAACAGTTAAAAGCATCATGGAGAGAGGAGAGTGTGGTTATGATGTTAGTGAGTGGGCTTGTCTCAACAGATGAGTTTTGAGGGTGGATTTGTATGGAGGACCAAAAATGACTAAAGTATAAATAAATAAATAAATACAGGAATATATTAATAAATACATTCATTTTGGACAATAAAAACTAAATATTTACATTGATGTGTTAAATATTACTATGAAATCAAATAAATATACTTTTATTTAGGTTATTTATCAATATCTACATTTTTTCCTTTATTTATTTATCCATTTGTTGCATATATTTATTTATGTATTTCTACATTTCTTCATTTATTTATTTATGTATTTCTACATTTCTTCATTTATTTATTTATGTATTTCTACATTTCTACATTTATTTATTTTTGTATTTCTGTGTCGCTACATTTCTTCATTTATTTATTTATGTATTTCTACATTTCTTCATTTATTTATTTATGTATTTCTGTGTCGCTACATTTCTTCATTTATCTATTTATGTATTTCTACATTTCTTCATTTATTTATTTATGTATTTCTGTGTTGCCGTATGCAAATTAGGCGGGCGGTGCTGAACTCAATCAATAGCAGGATTGGTGGGCAGTAGGTCAGCCAGGGCAACCAGAGAGAAGCAAAGTTAGCCTTCTCGGTTTGTGAGAGGATGTGAAGCTGCTGTATAGCTTGTTGAAGAGCGTCCAGCACAGTTGCATCAAAGTCTACCTCTGGGTCAGCACGGTGATGAACTAAAACATCTAATAGTCTTTCCAGCCGAAAGAGTAGATAGTCCTCAGGTGCATTATGCTCAACATAATTAACATCATTTGCTAATGCTCTTAATTGATGAGCAATGGCTCCTAAAAAACGTACATTCGAAACTGCCATCATACCATACAAAAGTGCACAGAGGATCTCTAGCTAGCTAACAGAGTACCGTAATGTGAGGCAGTAATGATCGAGACCAGAGTTCACGCAATCCTAACCAATCCTGTTCTAGATTGAGTTCAGCACCGCCCACCTAATTAGCATACAGGAACACAGAAATACATAAATAAATAAATGAAGAAATGTAGAAATACATAAATAAATACATGAAGAAATGTAGCAACACAGAAATACATACATAAATAAATGAAGAAATGTAGAAATACATAAATAAATAAATGAAGAAATGTAGAAATACATAAATAAATAAATGAAGAAATGTATAAATACATAAATAAATATATGCAATAAATGGATAAATAAATAAAGGAAAAAATGTAGATATTGATAAATAAACTAAATACAAGTATATTTATTTGATTTCAGAGTAATATTAGCATATCAATGTAAATATTTAGTTTTTATTATCCAAAATGAATGTATTTATTAATATATTCCTGTATTTATTTATTTATTTATACTTTAGTCATTTTTGGTCCTCCATAGATTTGGAGAGGCTCTATTCCACATGGTGACAAGGCGGGCAGGAGGGACTAAGAGCTGGAGAGGATAGGAGGAGCGGAGGGAGCGGGCAGGTGTGTAGATCTGGAGGAGTTCAGTCAGGTATAAACACTGTATGTCTGAATTAGGAAGTTATAGATATTAGGCCAGGTAACAGACGGCCATTTACTCCTATCTACAACCCACTGTTCTGTGAGAATAAGTGCTATTATATGTTTATTTGATAGGCACAGAACTAAAAGTATTGATACAGGTGGCCGATACAATGTTCATAGGCTGTATAGCTAGCACTTAATTTGCAGACATGGTCCCTAAGACATGAAAATACATCACATTTATATAGATTATTATAAAACCACAGTTTTACATCTTGCTGGTCTGCAATGTGTGGTGCTGGTGCCCATCGCAGAGATAACCTGCAAGATCAGAACTATACAGAGTTTCTGTGTGATTTTAGGGATGTTAGCCATCCTAAATTAGCAAACACAGTACAGGTACAGTAGCCAAATATCGTAAAATTAATGGCCAACAGGTTAGCCCCGATTTGAGCTACTTTAAGCTAATTTTGATAAGATATCTTGAAGCCAATGAAACGTATTATTTAGCAAGTTTCACAGATTTGTTTAATCATTCAGCTAGTTTCCTCATTTGTTTCAAAACTTTATGTACAGGTCATGGACTGACAGATTCATTGCTAGTTAGCATAGGCTCATTAGGTAAGCCGCTATAACCATGTAAATAATAAGCAAACAAAAAATCAAAGACATAGTTTTATTCACCTTTGATAGCAGTAGATAATCCTGACATGACAAAGCATTCAGTGTGAACAACGTACAGTGGTGATGAAGGTCCCGAGATGTAGCTTAGCTGGCTAGCCTTCGGGCAACATAGGCATATGACGTTATCACGAGAGCATATTTCACACGATCTAAACATGACCTGGTGTAATTAGGGTGTCCACAAGAGTGCACATACCACGTCAAAGCCTATAATAGCCAGCCCAGTTGAAAAAATTTGATCAATCATACGATGTAGAGAGGTCGAACGAGACTTGAATTTTGAATGGTGTGTTTTGCTTTTGTGATGACGTAACATCCGGTGTCTCCAGCCAATGGGCGCGCTGAGCCCGCCCCTCCAAAAAGGGGTCAGATGAAAAATGTATCGTAACCGTAAGTTTTGACCCGTAAGCGTAGCTTGTGAATCGTAAACATAACTTGTGAATCGTAAACGTAACTTTTGAAGCGAAACATGAAAAATCCGAACCGTAAATGTAAGTTTTAATTTTTTTCATTTGTAATGAGGGGGGTTTTGATTATTGGAGGCAAGGGAAACGATTGAGTGGTGGACCGAATTAAAACAGTTATGGCAGAGCAGTGGTGTGACCAAAAGAGGACAGAGCAAACTGTTAAAAACAAATAATTTATTACAATAAATTAAAACAGGGATAAAAAGTCTTTAAAAGGTGATAAAAAGGTCCCGAGCGGGGGGGGGGGGGGGGGGCCCTCTTCAGGGAGACCTGTGCACAAAAACAAAAGCCGGCAGGAACTATCCTCCACGTTTTGAATTTTAACGAGGGACAACGGGCGGGCACTTACACACACGGCAGGGATCCACCCTGCCGCTGCGTCCCTCGAGAGTCAGGCACCGTCTCCTGCTTGCGGTCCAGCTCCGCCCCTGGGCACAAGGACGAAACGGCAGCACCACACAGCCGAACACACAAGCAAGAGACCCCACAAAATGATCTTATAGCACCGCTACAACGACTAGAGGTACTTACAGGCACGGCAGGGATTCACCCTGCCGCTGCGTGTAGTCAACGTCACGGTGCTCTTCCCCGGGTCAGGTGCCTCCTCGGACCGCCGCTTCCCTCTCCACCACGCTCTAGACACAAGAGCAGAGCCAGTACACAGTACAACAAGCTTCGCCAGCTGCTGGGGCCTGAGGCTCTCCTGGTTGCACCAGCTTATCCACAGAACGTTACTCACAGACAAGGCAGAGCTTTCTCGCTCTGCCGCTGCGTGGATAGGGCTCGCTGGTGCAGCCTGGGTCACTGCTCGGTCCGGTCTTGTAGAGCCGTGGTCTCCAACGCGTTGTCCTCAGTGGCTCTTGTTTACTGTTCCGTTTTCCGTTCCGTTCCGTTGCCCTGCGCCCCCTCTGTCCGTTTCACTTGCCCTTTTATTCGCTGCTCTCTAATCAAGCGCAGGTGCTTCTAATTGTGTGGTGCACAGGATTGGGCAACAGCGTCCATGGGGCTCTGCGGCATGTCTCCAGCTGGAGCAGGACTAAAATGTTAAAACACTCATGCATATAAAAACACCACTGCAAACTAAAACAAAACATGTCCTCTCCCACATGCCGGATCACACCCCCCCACACTTTGTCGTTGGCAGTCCCTGCAACTGCACACAACCTAGTCTCTAAAGCGGGCAGGTGGTTGTCCAAAGTTTACACGCACAGAATGGCGGGGTACATTTTCAGGGTCCACGGGTGGCGGCTCAGGTGCTGCAGGTGGAAATCCATAAACAATTGGCAGATCGAATTCTTGTGCTGGAGGGGATTGTTCATTGTGCACCGGGGTTGGTTCCGATGCGAGTGGAGGGGCCGTGCATACCTTCAGCGCATTCCGGTGTACAGTCTGTTCTCGACCACCCTTCTCGGGACGCACTCTATACACAACTCCCGTATCCCCCACACAGTCAAAAATTACATGGGGTGTAGGATCCCACCAAGTCCCAAGCTTACCCCTACCCTCCCTCCGTCTATTTCGCAGCCATACACGTTCACCAGGTACCAGAGGCAAAGCTTTAGCCCTTTTATCAAACTGCTGTTTGTGTTGGGAGGCTGCATTGGCTGCTCTTTGTTGGGCAAGATTGTAAGCAAACAAAAGTTTATTTTGATGATCCCTTACCCACCCAGGAATGTCAAACTGGCCCTGGTGGGGATTCACACCCAACCCCACATCAACCGGGAGTCGCAAGTGTCGACCAAACATAAGGTAGGATGGGGCATAACCTGTGACACTGTGTACTGTGTTGTTATATGCGTGTACTAGCTCAGGTAGATACTCTGGCCAACGGTTCTGCTTCTCCTCCTCTAGGGTCCGAAGCATGTTCAATAATGTCTGGTTAAAGCGTTCCACGCTCCCATTACCTGCAGGATGGTAAGCGGTGGTGCGGCTTTTTGAAATGCCGTACATCTCGCACAACTGCTGCATTAAGGCAGACTCAAAGTTCGGGCCCCGGTCGGAGTGAAACCGTGCAGGGCAACCGAACTGTTGTATGATGTACTTCCAGAGCATCCTGACTGTTGTTTGGGCCGTCTGATCCCGGGTGGGTATAGCCCACGCAAAACGAGTAAATAAATCTGTGGCAACCAGAATATTTTGCCACGCGTCACCAGGGCGACCCAACGAGAGGAAATCAAGCCCTATTATTTCTAGAGGGAATTTCACAGAGACTGGATGAAGCGCAGCTCTCGGCTCGATACGACTCTTCTGTATGCTACATAAAAGGCAGGACTGATGAAACCAGCGCACCTCCCCCTCCATACCTGGCCAGAAGAACTGCTGCCGGATCCGGGCCAGGGTCTTTTCGGGTCCGAAGTGTGCTCCGGCCTCGTGGGTCTTTCTCCAGACCTCCTCCCGCTTGCTCTCAGGACACACGATTTGGGGGTGCTCCTCCAAGGTGTGAGTGTTCAATACGACACGATGCAGAACACCATCCCTCACCTTGAGTTTCCCCCAATGCTGCAACAACTTCTGGGAGGACCGAGAGAGAGACAAGCGTTCGGCCCGTTTGGGGAATCTTTGCCATTCCACGTACCGCTTTACAGTCTGAATATCATGGTCAGCGGCTTGAGCTCCTCTCCATTCTTCTCCATCTGGGGTCACCTCCACGGCCGCAGAAGTGGGTTCGGTCTCCAGTGGGGAAGTCCCTGCAGGCACGGGGAATCTGGACAGCACATCTGCATTAACATTAGACCTGCCAGAGCGGTATTTTATGGTGTAGTCGAAGGAAGCTAGTTGTGCCACCCAGCGTTGCTCCACAGCCCCCAAGTTGGCTGTCTGCAAGTGTGCCAGGGGATTGTTATCTGTATAGATGGTAAAACGGGCCCCAGTCAAATAGTCTTTAAATTTCTCAGTCACAGCCCACTTGAGGGCAAGGAGCTCGAGTTTAAAAGAGCTGTAATTAGAGTCATTCTGCTCCGTGGGGTGTAAGCTCCTACTAGCATAGGCTATGACTCGCTCGCTTCCATCCTGTTCCTGGGATAAGACCGCTCCTAGTCCCTGATTACTGGCATCGGTGTAAACAATCAATCAATCAAAGTTTATTTGTAGAGCGCCTTTCATACACAGGGCAACACAAAGCGCTTCACAGTCCACATCACAAATCATCACATAAAACAAACACCAGAATCACAATTAAAACATTAGAATCACACAAAAGATTAAAACACAATTAAAACATTAAAATCACACAAAAGATTAAAACACAATTAAAACATTAAAATCACACAAAAGAATAAAACCATTAAAACTTTCAAAATTACACAAGAAATTAAAAAAAAAAAAAAAAAAAAATGACAACAGTGCATTAGAAATGCAGATAAAATCCTTCAGTTGTATGCACAGGCAAACAGAACAGTCTTTAACCTGGATTTGTACATTGACAGAGTAGACGCCTCCCTCACATTTTCAGGGAGATTGTTCCAGATCTTAGCTGCATGGATCTGAAACGCAGCCTCCCCATGTTTGGTTCTCACTCTGGGCACCAGCAGGAGGCCAGTCCCTGTGCTCCTCAGAGTTCGGGCTGGTTCATATGACACCAACATGTCACTAATGTATTTTGGTGCAAGGCCATGGAGAGACTTTTACACAAGCAGAGCTGTTTTAAAATCTATTCTCTGAGCCACAGGAAGCCAGTGCAGTGACCTGAGGACCGGACTAATGTGGTCATACTTCCTGGTTCCTGTCAGGACTCTAGCTGCTGCATTTTGGATGTACTGCAGCTGCTTACAGGTCTGTTTGGACAGACCTGTAAGCAGGCCATTGCAGTAGTCTAGCCTACTGGAGACAAATGCATGGACAAGAATCTCCAAGTCTGCCCTGGACACTATATTTCTAACTTTGGCAATGTTCTTCAGATGGTAAAAAGCTGTTGATGTTATTGATTTTATGTGGCTATTGAAGTTTAGGTCTGAGTCCAGTATTACCCCCAAATTTCTGACCTTGTCTGAAGGAAGTAGGGAGAGAGACTGAAGTTTACAAATGACGCCCTCTCTTTGTTTCTGGGGACCAAAGACAATGATTTCGGTTTTGTCTGCATTTAGCTGGAGGAAATTATTTTGCATCCAGTCACTGATCTGTTGGATACAGTGAAGGAGCAAATCCAGTGGTCCATGTTCTCCTGCAGTCAGTGAGACATAGATCTGAGTGTCGTCGGCGTAATTGTGGTAGGACACTTTGTTTCTTTGTATTAACTGACCTAACGGCAGCATGTAGAGATTAAATAGGAGAGGTCCCAGGATCGACCCTTGTGGTACTCCACAGGTCAGGGCCACATGATCTGAGACGCAGTCTCCAATCTCCACAAAGTACTTCCTATCCTCCAGGTAAGACCTAAACCAGTCTAGGGCTGTGCTAGTGACACCAACCCAGTCCTCCAGTCTCTGCATGAGGATCTCATGGTCGACAGTGTCGAACGCGGCACTAAGATCTAACATGACCAAAACTGTGACTTTACCTGCATCAGTGTGAAGTCGAATGTCGTTTGTTACCTTCACTAGAGCGGTCTCAGTGCTGTGGTGGGGTCTAAACCCAGACTGGAACATATCAAAAGAATTATTCATTGTTAAAAATTCAGTAAGTTGTTGGGAGGCCACTTTTTCAAGAATTTTTCCAATGAATGGCAGATTCGATATGGGGCGATAATTTTGAAGTCCCGCAGGATCCAGACTGCTCTTTTTTAGGAGAGGTCTTATGACTGCTGTTTTTAGGGCCATAGGAAATGTTCCTGACGACAGAGACATGTTTACTATTTGTGTCAGTGAAGGTAACAAACTGCTCAGGACGGACTTCAGAAATTTAGAGGGCAATATATCCAGGCTACATGTGGAGGAGCTCAGACTCATGATTATCTTTTTGACAGTTTCAGTATCCACAGGTGCAAAGTGAGTTAGCTCAAAAAGCTTCTCTGGCTGTTGCATTGTTATACGTGCTGTGGGGGTGATAGTGTTTTTGATTCCTTGTACTTTGTCATCGAAAAACTGTGCGAACTCATTACACCTAGATTTAGAGGAAAATTCTAGGGGCAACTTTACAGGGGGGCTCGTTAATCTACCAACTGTTGAAAACATAACACGAAAATTGTTACTGCAACCTCCAATAATGTCAGAAAAATACATTTCTCTTGTTCTACGTAGAACCCGGTTAAATTCACCCAACTTAACTTTAAAGATTCCATAATCGCCCTGGAAATTGGACTTTCGCCACTTCCGTTCGGCCCTCCGGCACTCTTGCTTCTGTGCCCTGACCGAGTCTGCCTTAGTCCATGGGGCCTTTTTCTTACTGGTAACTATTTTAACCGTCACAGGAGCAATGGCGTCCAGAACAGTCAGAACACTGGTGGTGACAGAGTTATACAATTCATCAACAGTAGAGCATGGAGTTTTCTCAAAATTTAGCATTCCCATGAACAGTTCACTTGTGTTTTCATGTATGTGTCTTCTTCTAACAATTGTAAATTCAGCTGGTGGTTTGCTAGCAAAACACATGTCAAAAAATACACAGAAATGATCTGACAAAGCAACATCAACTACATTAACATTTGATACATTAACCCCCTTTGTAATTAGCAGGTCAAGAGTGTGCCCCCTGCTGTGGGTGGGGCCACTCACGTGCTGAATGAAACCAAAGGTCTCAAACACAGAAGCCAGCTCCTTTGCATTTCTGTCATCAACATTATCAACATGTACATTAAAATCACCTGTAATAACTAAACTATCAAAATCTGTGCACACGAATGAAAGTAGTTCAGTAAAATGGTCAATAAAATCGCAACATGACTGTGGTGGCCTGTACAGGACAATGGGCCTCATTCACGAACGGTTCTTAGGAACAGATTTGTACGTAAATCCTACTTACGAGGTTTTGACGAAGAAAGTGGCATTCACGAATTTTTCACGTAACCAGAATTTCTCTTGGGTAAGTACAAATCCTACGAGTCCTCAGGAGCACTCGTACGCATTCAGTGCCGACATGCACACGCAGGGGTTGGCCTCTTTGGTGAAGTTTAATAAAAATACAACATTCCAGTGATATGTCCGTCATATTGATGTATGTATATAATCTATTATTTCATTTTTGTGGTTACATATTATTTTTCATATTCATTTTCAAATTAAATGTGCCAACGCTCTTCGAAATACATTGGAAATCATGCCGTCAATTACTGACCCCACCCTATTTATAGGGGGCATTTGTCCATCCAGGGGCCACAGAACAATGGCATATTTACTGCTGCTGCAGGAGGTTGCGGATCGTGCCCTGCGGAGGGAACGGATCTTTCAGGATCATGTTGATCTTTTTACAGAGAGCGATGAATACCTCTTTGGACGCTTTAGGCTCCCACGAGCGGTACTCATCGAACTTTGCCATGATTTAGAGCCAGCACTTCGGAGCCACACACATCGGTCCAACCCTGTCCCCCCACACGTGCAGGTACTATCGGCCCTCGGGTTCTTGGCCACTGGAACCTTTCAACGGGAGCTTGGGGACAGGGTGGGCATATCACAGCCATCCATCAGCCGCGCTCTCCCTCGAGTTGTGAATGCAATCATTCAACTGGCCCCACAATACATTAAATTCCCGTACTCAGCAGAGGAGCAAGTTTCGGTGAAAATGGGCTTTCATCTGATTGCTGGTCTCCCAAATACAATTGGCGCAATAGACTGTACACACGTGCGCATCAAGGCACCCTCTCCAGACTCCTTCCCATACCTCAACCGCAAACAGTTCCACTCCATAAATGTACAACTAATCTGCGACTCTAATAACCACCTCCTGAATGTAGTTTCCCGGTTCCCAGGAGGCGCACACGACTCCTATATATTTCAAAACAGCTCCGTGGGAACACGCCTTGAACAAGGAGCGGTTGATGACGCATGGCTCATTGGTAAGCATATTTTAATTACAATTTCCAACGAGTGTAATATCCTCATCATTTCCTTTAGGCGATCGAGGATATGCCCTGGCCCCTTGGCTGATGACACCACTGACAAACCCTCAGACTCCTCAGGAGGTGTCATATAATGACAAGCATGCGCGCACTCGCTCCATCATTGAACGCACCATCGGCATACTGAAGGGACGCTGGATGTGTTTGGACACAGCAGGTGGAAAATTGCTGTATAAACCAGAGAAGGTAAGGCAACTGATTATTTTATTTACCTATTACGAGAATCACCTAGTTTAGATTTATTTAAATTCCTTGCAGCTAATTATATGGCTCTCCCTCACCATTACAGGTCTGTAGGATAATCATGGCCTGCTGTGTCCTGCACAACATGGCGATGAAGCGTGGTGTGCCACTTCCCCCTCAGCCACTACACCGTCAGGATGTGCGCCCTGATGCAATGCTGGGACCAGACTGCAGGCACGCAGTTCATGTTAGAGAGCAGTTAATTGCCCGTTTGTAAATAAAGTGTAAATATTACGTTGAATATACGTCCACTGTGATTCACTTCAAATATTAAGACAGACCAGTTCCGGTGCACACCTTCATTTATTTGTGAGCTGCTTATGCAAATCTAAAAGAGTCTGAGATATGGTTCCCAGTGTGGACGCAATCTTGTCCAGGGACTCGGCAATTTTCTCCTGATTGTGAAGAACCGCGTCCGAGAGCAAGCGTAGACGTGGAGAGGCACGAGTGCGGGTGGATCTGCTACAGGAGGGCTCTGTCGGTTCTGGATCGGGGTCTCTCTGCGGGACTTCATCTGTGATTAAAGGAAATACATAAATTAATTACAACTCAAGCCAAGGTATATATTGAATTAACATAAGGAAGAGGAGTAGGATTAAATAAGCTTGGCTTCTGCCTACTCCTTTTGAACGTGAATAAGTTTTATTGTCTTTGTTTTGTTCTGTCTTTCTTTCTTATACATTTATTCGATGTTCAAATAAACACAATGAATAAACAAAACTAAAAAAGGTTGCAACCCCAGTCCAAAAAAGGCCTTATTTGGGTTACACACTATGGTAGACTCCACCCTTACCGGGCACATGCTTTAAGTATAGAAATAAAAATAGAAAAAAGGCCCGAATCAGAATATTTAAACAATTTACCTTCGGATTCAACTGGGATGGCAGCGGCACAGGGAGGGGATGAACGCGTTGCACATGGGCCCAGGTCTGTGTCCAGTGACTCAGTTGATGGTACACCTGAAAAGTGGGAATATGAATTAATTAATATGATTAAATACAGTGACCTTGATTGTTCACATAGCCTACCTGAGAGTGCCGTCTCCCCGATGATGGCCCCAATGCGCTGATCCAGATCAGACAGCATGGTGTTTGCTGCCCCCCCTCCAGTCCGTTGCGTCTCCCTCCGGTGTTTGGCAATGTTTCTTTTGGTTTCGGATTTCAGGTCGAACCACTTCTTCCTGACCTCCTCTATGGTGCGTCCCTCTCCTGAGACCGCATCCACCGCACGCCAAACTGCCTCCCAGGCCTCCTTCTTATTGGTATTGGTGCAACCTGCACTGAGGCTACTGAAGAGAGTCGTCTTCCTCCTCGTGACCTCCAGCAGCAGGACTTCGAGTTCCGAACTGCTGAAGTTCTTTTTCCTCCTCACTGGCTGCGCTCCAACGGACTTGCTCTTTGCTTTTGGCATTTTGCTGTTTCCTACCTGAGTGGGGTCTGCACACGGCCCTGCAGTCCCTTTTATGGGCATTAGTGGGCGGTTACTTATGCTAAGTACCTATGGTAATGAAGCACCGGGCACGCGCGCTGTACTTACGACGAAATGGGATTCATCAATCTGAGCGAACAGCTGCGAACAATTCAGCGGCTTACGAGTGCGTTGATGAATCCCACGTGGGGACTCCTTAGAAATCTACTTAAGGACAACTTGAGTAGAAAGTTGAGTAGTTTCTTACGAAGTTATTCGTGAATGAGGCCCAATGAAAAGAGTAGAAGATTGCTTTTGTTCCATTTTAAAAGAAATATACTCAAACGATGAAAAATTTCCAAGGGGCATTCTATGAGAGACAAAGTGCTCTCTAAAAACTGCAGCTATGCCTCCCCCCCTTTTGTTTTCTCGTATTTCGGATTCGAATTTAAAATTGGGTGGTGTTGCTTCTATTAGAACTGCATTTCCTGTATTTTGGTCCAGCCATGTTTCAGCCATAAGCATAAAATCAAGATCATAAGAAGTGATAAAATTATTAATTAAAAATGATTTGTTACATAGAGATCTGACATTAAGCATAGCAAGTTTAAAAATAACGTCAGAGTCGATTAATGTGGTTGATTGATTTCTACAGGGAACAGAAATTAGATTTGCAGGGTTGGACCGTCTAATTGCTGTCCTGTTTTGATTTCGTTTTTTAGAATTTAAAAACATTTTTGAGCTGGTGCGAGGAACACACACAGTCTCAATTGGCCTAAAATGTGAAAACCCTTGTTGTTGTTCTTTAGCTCCCAGAGTCAGAAGGGAGTCAGCACAGTTCAGTGTTTGGACTGGTAATGCACTGCCAGACGGACAGGGAGCAGTGTTTGCACCGTTGTACTCACCCGGTGCTGGTGAGCAGGAGGCGGGGGAGTGCGTTGGGGTCCGAGGGGGCTCAGATGTAAACAGTCACGCCCCCCCCGGGGAGCACCGAACAACATAACGCATGTAGTCCATCAACAGGCTGCTACCGTATCTGTTTGGGTGTAATCCGTCTGGACGATAGGCTTCGTAACGTTTCCAGAAAAGGGCAAAGTTATTCACAAAGACAAAGTTAAAAGAGCTGCATGTAGCCTGGATCCACATATGCAGCGCCACAACACGACTGTAGAGGCAGTCACCTCTGTTTACAGTCGGGATTGGACCAGAAATAAAAACAGATAATCCGGAGGATTGAAGGAGGTGGAACAGATCCATAAAATGTTTCTTAGTGACTTCTGACTGCTGAAGTTTCATGTCGTTAATTCCCACATGCACGACTACCTTGGAAACGGTATCAGGCAGGGACTGAAGCAGAGGAGGGAGACGTATGAGCAGGTCTGGTACAGTAGCTCCGGGAATACAGCGAGTGACCGCGTTAAAGAAGCGGACGTGTCTCACGATGGAATCTCCAATAATCAGAGTGGTCGGGGCGAAGAGTGGACGTTGACGCGGCCTCGGAGAAGGAGCTCGGTGGACGGAACCAGCGGGTTCACCCGAAGCAGGACCCGAGCGCCGCTGAACACATGGAGAGGAGGAGCGGGGGTGCTGACTCTCAGCTACAGGCGACCCACGCTGTGTGCTCGGGGACGCTGGAGCGGTGAGCGGGGCTGGCTCTGGACGCTGCTGCTGACCCGGTGGAGGTGAGCGGTGGTGATGATGGCTCGCTACCCCAGTCTGAGGCTGCTGCACTGGGGTCAAAGAAGGGGAACAGGCCAACATGGCCGGTGGACCGCTCTTTCGCCTGAGGACTGCTTCCTTTAGGAGCGTTTTCCTCGTAGTGGACTTGGATCCTCGAGCAGTAGAGTACGCTGCAGTGTCCAGGGATTCTGCTGAGGGGGCCGGGATGTCAGTGGAGAGGGCTGCATAGCGGTTTGCCAGACTCAGGACATGGGCCACGGCGCAGGATGGCTCCTCGGAATCCGCGGGCTCGTTATTCGGAGCCGGGCGCTTAGGTGTAGAACAGGAGGGTCCGGAGCTGACGGATCTCTCCCACACGACAGTGTCACAATATGCAGCGCTCAGTGACATAAGCCATGAATGCTGCCCACCAGCGACTTCAAAAAGTTTGGACACTAGAGATTGTTTCTCATTCAACTCTGCGGTGAGACGAAGGACTTCTTTTCGTAGTTCTGCAATGGTGGCACGGTCGCTCTCACGGAGCTCCAAGGTGAGGCGACTAATATTGTGCATGTTTGAGCCAATTTCATTGTCACTTTCCATGTCCTCGTTAGCTTGTGTTAGCCTCTGTGCTACTAGTGGGTTTCAGTCGGGACTAAGCGCTATTTGCTGAAACCACTGAATTAATAAGATAAAACACTCAGATATATTAAAAAACTGAACAATAAAAACGCGCTTAAAAGTTTACTAAAAAGGTGCACAGAGCAGCCCTGCAGAACGGTGCAGTTCACTCACACACACCTGTCTGACATCACCTGTCTGATATCAAAGTATGAAGGGCTGATCGTATTGGGCATACGCAAGGATGGGTGCTGATGTCAAGGATGCCTTAAGCGATTCGAATGACGTTTGGCACTCCGGGGTCCACTGTACCTTGCGCGCCTGCGTCCGTCTGTTTGCTGGGATTCCTGTGAGGAGGCTATTCAGGGGGCGGGCTATTTTGGCAAAGCCAGAGACGAAGCGCCTATAATAACCAGCAAGCCCAAGGAACGCCCTCACCTCCTTTACAGTAGTGGGGGCCGGCCACTCCTGAACAGCTTGTATTTTACCAAGGTCTGGTCTCACCCCATTGCGGTCCACTACATGTCCCAAGAAGGTCACCTCTTGCTGAAGGAGTTTGCATTTTCCTGGCTTGAGTTTCAGTCCATGGCGCCATAACCTCTCAAAAACTTCGTCCAAATGCTGCAAGTGGGAGGAGAAATTGGCAGAGTAAATAATGATGTCATCGAGGTACACCAACAATGACTCAGCTATTTGACCATTTAAGCATTGCTGCATGAGGCGCTGGAAGGTGGCCGGGGCATTACATAGACCGAAAGGCATGCGTTCAAATTCAAATAAACCCAGTGGAGTCGTAAAAGCAGTCTTTTCTCGATCCTCTGGTGCATTTCCACTTGCCAGTAGCCGCTGGCGAGATCTAGGGTCGAAAACCACTCCGATTTGCTCAGTCCAGTTAAAGTCTCCTCTATCCTGGGCAACGGGAAGGCATCTTTGTGTGTGACCGCGTTTAACCTTCGATAGTCGACACAAAAGCGCCAACTCCCGTCTTTTTTACGCACCAGGACTATGGGCGCAGCCCATGGACTACAGCTCTCTCTTATTACGCCTTGCTGCAGCATACCTGAGAGTAGTGACTTTACTTCCTTGTACAGGAGAGGGGGGACAGGCCGGTACCTCTCTCGAACTGGGTCAGCGTTTCCAGTGGGTATCCGGTGCTGGACAATGTTTGCTCGTCCGAAGTCCTCCTCATGTTGTGCGAACACCTTCCCCCACTTGGCTAGCAGGGCACGCAACTGCTCCTGTTGTGGCTCAGACAGATCAGCCCGCTCACCTAAATCTACCACGCCTGGGGGCCGTTCTACGTTCATTTGGGCTTCTGCAAAGTTAACTAGGGCTACCTCAACAACCCCATCTTCGACTAGGGACAACGACAGATCGTCTACTCCATGCACATCACCAGCCTCAACACTAAACAGCCGGCCCAGCCTCTCAAACCGATTTATCGTGACACTGTATGGGTGGGGGTTACACACACGAACAGGTAGTCGACCCTTCTTCACCTCCACCAGGGTTTTTGCCACACCTACCCCACAATCACCAGGCATAGCCTCCACCAGTGCACAATAATTTGAACTACAGGGCCCCACTTTTGCTCGCCCCCACACTAACAGCTCGCTCCTAGGGGGAACTATAATGCTGCGCTTGGAGGCCAGCCTTATATGACCCAACAGCCCATCACTAGTTGGGATTGCCTCTATACGGGAACAAGTGCTGAAAGCATCTCTCCACACCTTCTGCTGTTTGAATTGCTGCAAGAGTGTAGATGTTCTGGGGCATCGAAACACTATATCCCAACAGGCTACAATCACATTCATGCCAATTATGAGCGGATGAGTACAGTTTTTGTCCTCTACGATCACAACCCCTCTGTCAAGGACCTTTACACCCTCAACCTCTGCATCAAGGACAGCATAACCAATGTAGGGTATCTGGAGCCCATTCGCTGCCCTAAGATGGAACAAGTTGGGGGGCCTGCCAAGCTGTGCTTCGGAGAAGTGCATGTTAAACAGGCTCTCAGACATTAATGTAACTTGAGACCCAGTATCTAACAGCCCCTTCAAAACTACACCCTCAAAATTAACCTCAATGTGGGGGCATTGACCTACAAACTTTTCAGTGGCCCTGGTTGGTGCTGGCATGTTTACAAGCCCTGCTGCTTGGACCTCAGCGGCAGGGGAATCTAGTTTAAATTCTGTTCACGCGTAGCTTCGGCCCTACAGTATCTTGCTATGTGTCCCGCCCTCCTGCAATGGTGACAGATGGGCCTACCTCGCTCGTCCCGGTCGTTGTAAGGTGTGCGCCGTGGATTTGTCCGAGGGGAGGTGGGCTGGTTGTGCATCGGGGGTGCTTGAAATTGCCTTAGCTCTGTAACGATTTCACGTGAGAGCCCCTTCATCTGTGCCTTTACTTCCTCCATGATCTCCCGTTTCAGTTGGTCTTTCCACAGCTCATCTGGGAGCGGCCTGGGAGAAGCATATTGTTTATTTACAGCAGAACACGTTACCTCAGATGAAGCAGGGCCATATTCAGAGTCCAAAAGGAGGGCCTCTTTACGGAGCGCAGCAAAGTCTTCATCCGGGTTGCGGCGTGCGTAGACCTTCAGCGCCTGGGCTAATGGACCCTCCCGGAGTCCGAGCAGCAGTTGGTCTCTTAAGGCACTATCTGAGGGGGGGTCATGCTGGTCACAACGTCGTAGCTTACAATGGAGCTCACGCAGTCTCAAAATAAATGACGGAACAGTTTCATCCACTTTCTGATTGCAGCTAAAAAACTGGGCCCTTAAAACTGGTGTCGAAATCTGTTCCCCATAAAGCAAATCTAACTGAGCAAACACTTTTCAAGTCTGATCCTTCTCATCAGTATCCAGCACCGAAATTTGACGTTTAGCTTCCCCTGCAAGCGCTCCCAACACAATTTCGACTTTTCTAGCCTCAGGCATTTCCTGGCTATTCATAAGCCCTCGTATCTGCTCCTTCCAATCTAGGTATTTGAGATCACCTTGCCCTGTAAATTTGGGCAGCCAAGGTGCCCCTGGATATACCGGCATCATCATGTTTGCTCTTTTTTGGACACACCAGCTCTTTAGGAATGGATCCTGCTCAGCAACGCCAGATTATGTAATGAGGGGGGTTTTGATTATTGGAGGCAAGGGAAACGATTGAGTGGTGGACCGAATTAAAACAGTTATGGCAGAGCAGTGGTGTGACCAAAAGAGGAACTGTTAAAAACAAATAATTTATTACAATAAATTAAAACAGGGATAAAAAGTCTTTAAAAGGTGATAAAAAGGTCCCGAGCGGGGGGGGGGGGGGGGGGGGCCTCTTCAGGGAGACCTGTGCACAAAAACAAAAGCCGGCAGGAACTATCCTCCACGTTTTGAATTTTAACGAGGGACAACGGGCGGGCACTTACACACACGGCAGGGATCCACCCTGCCGCTGCGTCCCTCGAGAGTCAGGCACCGTCTCCTGCTTGCGGTCCAGCTCCGCCCCTGGGCACAAGGACAAAACGGCAGCACCACACAGCCGAACACACAAGCAAGAGACCCCACAAAATGATCTTATAGCACCGCTACAACGACTAGAGGTACTTACAGGCACGGCAGGGATTCACCCTGCCGCTGCGTGTAGTCAACGTCACGGTGCTCTTCCCCGGGTCAGGTGCCTCCTCGGACCGCCGCTTCCCTCTCCACCACGCTCTAGACACAAGAGCAGAGCCAGTACACAGTACAACAAGCTTCGCCAGCTGCTGGGGCCTGAGGCTCTCCTGGTTGCACCAGCTTATCCACAGAACGTTACTCACAGACAAGGCAGAGCTTTCTCGCTCTGCCGCTGCGTGGATAGGGCTCGCTGGTGCAGCCTGGGTCACTGCTCGGTCCGGTCTTGTAGAGCCGTGGTCTCCAACGCGTTGTCCTCAGTGGCTCTTGTTTACTGTTCCGTTTTCCGTTCCGTTCCGTTGCCCTGCGCCCCCTCTGTCCGTTTCACTTGCCCTTTTATTCGCTGCTCTCTAATCAAGCGCAGGTGCTTCTAATTGTGTGGTACACAGGATTGGGCAACAGCGTCCATGGGGCTCTGCGGCATGTCTCCAGCTGGAGCAGGACTAAAATGTTAAAACACTCATGCATATAAAAACACCACTGCAAACTAAAACAAAACATGTCCTCTCCCACATGCCGGATCACACATTTACAATATATTTTTAATGTTTACAATACTACAACCTACGATTACAATTCCTGCTTTACGGTTACGCTACAATTTTTTCGTTTACAATTTTTTTTATGTTTACAATACTTACAACCTACGTTTACAATTCCTGCTTTACGGTTACGTTTAAGCAGACCCTATTTTGACGCCATACATCTGCTCTCACCTCAATCAAAGTATGCGTGGGGCACTGCCTCACTAATCTCTTTAACTCCCTGCGAAGATGTGGATCCAACACATGCTCCACAAACTGATCGCGGAGGAGATTGGGGGCATCAGGCATAGACTGTGGGGCACTTCGCTCGACCTTTTCCATAAGGCACCACAATGCGTGTGAAAATTCCTGTAGCGATTCCCCTTCCTGCTGCCTCCTTGAAAAGAATGGGTGTAGCAGATCATATGTCTCATTACAGTAAGCATACAACTCTTGCAAAATTTGAAACATTTTCTCTGGGTCCTCTCTATCTGCTCTAGGCCAGTACCTTATCTCATCCTTAGCCTCCCCCTCAAGATGGTCATACACAAAGTAAGCTTGGTCAACAGGCTGCAGGTATCTGGTTCTCAGAGTAGCCCTCATCTCTTCGACCCAGTCCTCCACAGGAATTTCAGTAGGGCCCCTAAATGATGGACACTTTCTTTCCCTGGGAATACTGTATATAACACATGTTCAGCTGGTGAGACATTAGTGCGGTTACGAGAGCTAGTAGTCCCAGAGTCTGTGGAAGTGGAGGCACCAGAGTTTGCGGGAGTTTCACGAACAGCAAGCCTCTCCTGGAGCCGCACATTTTCAGATTGGAGCTGCGCAGCTGGTCCCTCAGCTCTTGCAGTTCCATAGTCATGACTGAAGGGAGAGGTAGGCAGGTAGAGCACGTAGACACGTCCGAGAAGGGAGGACGATTGTTCTGGGGCAGCAGATCCCTCAAAGGGCCCACTGCTGTTTGCTTGGGTTTTAAACATTAATAAAAAATTGTTTTATCTAAACCTAGAGTCACTCACCACCACAGCAATCTTTAGCCAACAACGCCAGAATGTAACCGTAGCTAGTCACTTCAGGTTCAGGATTGCAAAAGATGATGAAAATGAGGCAGTTACAAGGATGAAGTTTGACAATATTTATAATTTCAAAAGCTAGATAAAACTGCATTAGGCAGGTCGGTCACAGCCGCACACGGCAGAAGCACTATGGGACAGGCACCCACTGCAGCTCCGTGAACACACACACACACACACACACACACACAAACACACGCACAAAGGTAAACTGAAGAAAACGTGCAACAATACCACAACATACGAGGAGTGAGGGGGACTGACGTGAGACTCTGCCACCAAACCTCCACCAGGGACGACCACGCCCGGACCAGACCTTAGGAGAAGAAATGCAGAACTTGGGTGCAAAATAGGTAATTACAACAAGGTGAAGAAAAGTAAATAGCTGAAGAAGATGACATAGTCTGGGATCGTGTCTTTAATTCAGACAGAAGACATGTTTTATTGTCGATGGTAGAGACAGCACGAACAACACGAACACAGAATGCAAGTGTATTATACAGAGCGGAGGAATGGAGTCCTCCAATCAGCAGCTGCCACGGTGCCATGTAGCTTGGCCTTCAGATAGACAAAACAAGGGAAAAGTACTGGCTTCTGCACATTGATAGAATGATGAGTTTAACTTTAACAAAAGTTGCTTCAAAGTGTTATGAAATCTCACATTCCCCCCTCTGGTCAAACATTCTCGTGTGACCATCAAGATCGATAAACAGCAATATAACATCATAACTCAATACTTAAACTCGGTACTTCAAAAACTCAGAAAACCCAGAAAACATGTTCAGATCTTTCATAAAACTTGTCAACAATCTTCAGTAAAATACCAAACTTCATCAGTCGATGGTGGTCCCAGATATTGCTTTGAAAACAGTCTCTCCCACTTCTCCGTGTTGGTTTCTTCAGGCTGCATTTGTGTCGAGCCATGAATTCTTCTGTGACGTGTCTTTCAATCACACGTTTCAGCTTTAGTGTCCAGATTCAGCAATTCAATTCAGTCCAAATGATGTCCAAATTCAGAAATCCAATTGTTCCAAATTATGTCCAAATTGTGTAATCCAATTTTTCCAAATGATGTCCATGCAAAAGAGGACGATGGTATTGTCCATGTCTCAGCAGCTCACAGCAGGTCTGAGTGGAATCAGGGGCTGTGCAGATTGTCCAAGTGCTGATCCAGAGGCATTCTCTTGAGGTTTTTCAGTTTTGGCTTAAAAAAACAAACACTTTTTGTGTAAAAAAAAGTAGTCTTCTGTTCACTAGATGTTACAGACAAGGCCCGCATCCTCCACCACCTGAAGAAGATGACAAAGTCTGGGATCGAGTCTTAAATTCCGACAGAAGACATGTTTTATTGTCGATGGTAGAGACAGCACGAACAAAGCACACAACAGAATGCAAGTGTATTATACAGTGCGGAGGCATGGAGACCTCCAATCAGCAGCTTCCACGGTGCCAGTAGAGATAGTCAAAACATGAAGTGGAAAAGTACAGGCTTCTGCACATTGATAGAATGATGAGTTTAACTTTAACAAAAGTTGCTTCAAAGTGTTATGAAATCTCACATAGCTATGCCTTAAAACCAAAAACTATACTAAGTAAACCCCCGTAAATAAGACCAAACAAAAACAAGAAAACTACTTAAATGAAAACCCAAACAAAACAGCAGTGGCCAACAGCATCTATGAAACAAATGGGCTATTAGTTTAATGCCACATAATTATATAAATAAAAGAGCACAATAGTGTATAATAAATACCAGATGTTGAGTTGGAGAGAAATGGTCTTCAATCAAATGCAAACATGTAGTGTTATGGTCTTATTCTGAACGTGTGTCTGTGGTTCTAAAGTCTTATTCTGAACGTGTGTCTGTGGTTCTAAAGTCATATATAAGATAAGATTTGCTTTATTTATTTCACATAGGAGAAATTTACATGTCACATTTGGCATTGGATAGAGACACTCAGATTGTGCAAAAGGAGGAAATGTGCAAACATGTTACATGCAGGATATATGTACAATAAAGTGACAATAATTATGTGCAACAAAAGTGACAAGTGTCAATTGGAAACAGTGTCAATAGTAGTGCAGGTTTTCACACAGTGATCATTTAAAGTGACTTATTGTACAGTCTGACAGCGGTGGGGATAAAGGCCCTGCGGTAGCGCTCCTTCCTACACTGAGGGTGTCTCAGTCTTCCACTGAAGGAGCTCCTCAGCTCCTCTACAGTCCTGTGCAGTGGGAGGTATTGTTCATGATGGAGGTGGCTTTGACTACCACCCTCCTGTCCCTCACCTCCTCCACAGAGTCCAGGGAGCAGCCCAGAGTGGAGCTGGCCCTCCTGACCAGCTTGTTCAGTCTGTTTCTGTCCTGCCCGGGGCCCAGCACACGGCAGCGTAGTAAATGGCAGAAGCTACCACAGAGTCATAAAAAGTCCTGAGCAGAGGCCTGCTCACTCCGAAGGACCTCAGCCTCCTCAGAAGGAAGAGGCGACTTTGGCCCTTCTTGTGCAGGGCGTTTGTATGGGACCAGTCCAGTTTATTGTTAATGTGAACACCCAGGTACTTGAAGCTGTCCACCAGCTCAATGTCCTCCCCCTGGATGTTCAGCAGCGTGTGGGAAAGTGGTTTTCTCCTGAAGTCGATGATCATCTCCTTGGTCTTACTGGTGTTCAAGCACAAGTGATTGCGCTCACACCAGTCAACAAAGTCCTTGATAACCGACCGATATTCCAGTTCGTTCCCCTCAGACACACAGCCCACGATGGCGGCGTCGTCGGAGAACTTCTGCAGGTGACAGCTGTGTGTGTCGTGTGTGAAGTCTGAGGTGTAGATGGTGAAGAGAAACGGTGAGAGGACAGTGCCCTGAGGGGCCCCAGTGCTGCAGACTACCACCTCAGACTCACAGCCGCACGTACTGTGGTCGGTCTGAGAGGTAGTTGATGGTCCATGCAGTGAGGCTACTGTCCACTCCCACGTCCTCCATCTTCCCCCGCAGCAGTGCCGGCCTGATGGTATTGAAAGCGCTGGAGAAGTCGAAAAACATGACCCTCACAGCGCTCCCGGCGGGCTCCAGGTGGGAGAGCGTCCGCTGCAGGAAGTAGATGACGGCGTCCTCTACTCCGATGTTGGGCCTGTAGGCGAACTGCAGCGGGTCCAGGGTGGGGCTGACCACGGAGCGGAGATGGGTGAGGATGAGCCGCTCCATGGTCTTCATCAGGTGGGAGGTCAGTGCGACTGGTCTGTAGTGAGCTGGTTCCATGGCGTGTGCTGTTTTTGGAACCGGGATCACACAGGAGGTCTTCCACAGGACAGGGACCTTCTCCAGGCTGAGGCTCAGGTTGTACATGTAGCTGAGGACCCCAGAGAGCTGGTCTGCACAGGTCCTCAGCAGCCTGGGACTGATCCCGTCCGGTCCTGCGGATTTCCTCAGCTTCAGGCGCTGGAGCTGACTCCTCACCTGGTCCAGTGTGATGGAGAGGGGGGGGGACTGGGGTGTACGGTCCGAGGTGGGGGCTGGGGATGCGGGGGCAGGAGGGCCCGGGGCAGCCGGAGGCAGTGTCCACTGGGCGGTGTCCACTGGGCTGGGGACGTGTGAAGAGGTGGGGACGTGTGAAGAGGGGGGGGCAGATGGAGAGGGGGGAGAATCAAACCGGTTGAAGTACTGGTTAAATTCATCCGCCCGGTGCTGGTCTCCATCCGTTGTCCCTCTGGCACTCTGTCCAAAGCCGGAGATGTTCTTTAGGCCTGTTAGTATTAGATAGCAATATGGCCTACGTGCAGGACTGTACAAGGACTCTACAAGGACTCCATGTTATGACTATGATTTGACTGTCTCTTTGTGACACGTATGTCTTTCGATGTGTGACGTGACAATGACTATATAAACTGTGTACTGCCTTTATTCTGTCTGAGAGAAAGAAACAAAGTAAACCAGTGGAACTTGAGAGAAACTTAAATAAACTTCCATAGTTTGGCACACCACGATCCGTCTCTCTCAGCTCTCCCACGCCGAGAAAAAGAAACAAAGAAAACTCCCTCAAAACAATCCAGAGAATGGCACACACTGAGCCGCGCATTCTCCACCAAATCTGTTAGGGATGAAGCAGACAGAGACGGATCGTGGTGTGCCAAACAACAAACGCTGGTTGTGAGCCGCTAACAACAACACGGCTGGGAGCGAATGGCGCCGCGGTAACATGGTCATATAAGACCATACACGCCACAGAACTTCTCTGCATGTTGTGTGTGTGTGTCTTTGCATAACCTGTGCAAATGCACTGCGAAAGTGTCCGTGTCTCCTCCTGAAACTAAACTAAACTCGCTAAATTAAAGCTGGGCTACGTAAATTTCCCCCTTTCATTAACAGCTCATTTTTGTTGTGCCCAAAAGCAAAAGGTTGTGAGCAAATCTAACAGATTTAAGTACATTTGGTATGAATGTCAACGTGTCATTACATTTGATAATCTCATTTGACTTCAATTGGAGTGGATTTGAAATAGAATGTTAAAAATATGATTAATCGTGAGTTAACTCACCATTTCTGTGCGATTAATCAACTAAATATTTTTAATTGTTTGACAGCCCTAATTCATAGGCTTAGAATTTAACTTAATAAACGTTCATGAGCGAGGAGTGCTCTTCGTGTCATTGCGCCATCTTGGAAAACAGTGGTGGATAAGGGACAAAAAGGATGCCAGAATTGCGTTTTCATCACACATGAGGTACTGATATTGTTCCTTTCAACGTGCCTTCTCAAGTTGGAAGAAGGAACTATGGAGGACAACAGTTACCGC